AGACGAGGGAGGGGCCTTAATAATAAATTAAACACACCATTGGATATAAGAATAGCAAAAGAAAATCGTTCTACCTTGAAGTTAAATAACAAAAAAAGAAAATCGTTCTACCTTGAAGATAAATAACAAAAAAGAAAATCATTTACCATATATATTATTATTATCGTTTTTGCTAAATAAACGTTTAAAGACAAAGACATTTTTTAAACAACATTAATGTGCATGAACAGTATGCAAGCGATGCAAGAAGACAATCAGTTGCACGTAGATTACAATAACAGGAGAGAGTTGTAACTATAACAATTGTAATGCAAAGTTATCAGAAATGTTTTATATGTAGCGAAGGTAGGAGTGAAAAACTGACACACGCACGTTTGAGCAAGAAAAACACTTGAGAAGAGATAAAAAGAAAAAAAAATTCACTTGTGTATGTCATCATTCTTGGCAAAAGAACTTCATTTTATCACCAGTCGTTTTTTTGTCGAAAGTTATTTATGAATGAAAAATTTGGTTAAACAATTTATAACAGGTGACTCCTTACCTGCTGACGAAGATGCTTTAGAACATTTTCTCATAAGAGACTATACTCAAAAAAATAAAATATATTCGTCGTTGTACAATCTCTCAAATGAGTCACTTTCCTTCAAATTGACGTGTAATGTTTTCATGTACAAAAGTTGTTTGTTTCAATGTTTCAAGTAGCAAAACACAAAGAACAGAACGAAAAAAAAGCGTTCTTAGTGTATCAGAAAAACGAGAGCGAACTATCAGCACTATCAGCGTTAGTTCATGTAACAGAATTATATTTACCAGCTGTATTAAAAGCAAATCAGGGGAAGATATTATAAGTACGCGTCCTCCCAGAGTAGAGGTGCAACCGGTATGGGTATACCGGTACGAATTATAACGCCGACCGATATACCGGCTGGTATTTTGCGGTATGATACAATTTTTTTCGAAAAACATGTGAAAAATCAGCTATACATAATCAAAGTGAAAAGATTAATTTATCCCTTCGATAACATAAAATAAAGTTCACAGTAAAGAAAAACAAGGAAACAGTATTTTTATTTAGGCAAAATATGATCAGGACAAGCGGGTACCGATTGGTAAACAGGTCATCGGTATACCGATCAGTGCCAGTCCGGTGCCGGTACGAAGTTTGTATACCGGTGACCGGTACCAGTATCGCATTTTTGATACCAGTTACACTCCTGTCCCACAGTCAGTTACGTCCAAACTGATATGATGTTAACACACTTTGATCGAAAAGGAAGGAAAAAAAGTAGTGTTCACAATTGACTGTTACACATGGCGTTACAGTACACTGCGCTGCTTTTAGTCTCTGACAAAATAAACAGACAGTGTTTGTAGTTACAACTCTCTCCTGTTATTGTAATCACGTACAACTGATTGCCTTCTTGCATCGCTTGCATACTGTTCATGCACATTAATGTTGTTTAAAAAATGTCTTTGTCTTTAAACGTTTATTTAGCAGAAACGATAATAATAATATATATGGTAAATGATTTTCTTTTTTGTTATTTATCTTCAAGGTAGAATGATTTTCCTCTGCTTTGTTTATCAAACACATACATGTTATTAAAGCTATACCTACTGTAAGGCGCACGACACAAGGATGCTGACATTTGGACGGGAGCAAATATTTTTGAACATTAGTCTATATAAAAATGACTAACATAGAAGACTGATCAAGTTTTATAAAAATGAATCTCGTCGTTTCGTAAAATGAATGTCGTCTTAAGATGTTGTGGTTCTGACTCGTCAAAAACGACATTACAAGTTTGGAGATCTAACCCTGTTATTGTATCTGTCACAGTTGTAGACTTCAAAATGCAAAGGATTAACCATCTGACAGTAATGTGACTTGCACTTTAAAGATTCATTGATTGGAGCTAATATACCAGTATCACAATATTTTCTTCACCATCCATTAACAGGGATCAAAACTGAAAACTGAATTTGTTTAAGAGTACGTCTCGCTCTTAGATATGTTATAATATACAGTTAAGTGCCCTCTACAAAATGAGACGTCGCTCAGCTCTCTTTGAACTTTCCTTCGGGAGTTATGCATTTTTTAAGACTGATCGACGGAAGACCTAATGCATCATTGCTCACTTTGCAAAAATTATCTACACGTGTACTAATCAGTCAAAATTATTTGAAAAGTTTATTCATATAGAAAAAAGGGTTTTCTTCAAAATGAGCCAGCGGTTGCTGAACTCTGTGCGATACTCCAATCAAAAGTTATAAATATTTCTCTAAGATAGGTATGCACCAGTATCGGTATTCATATTCGGTATATACCGAATACCGAAAATGACGCCTTTTTTCGATTTGAACTTTTTTGAATTTTTTCATTTGAAATGAGATAGTTTGACGTCGTGGACAGTCAGAACACAAAAAACACTCAGCCATGTATTCTGAGCATATGCAGATAGAAGATAAAGGAAAACTTTGGTTTTAGAAAGCAAACAAAACTCTTGGTTTGCATCCCTGACAGAGACCGAATCCGGTCTTAGGTGGATGACCCGAACTCGACCCCACCTGAATCAATATTTTCTATGTGAGCCCGAACCCGACTCGACCCGAAGGCTTTTTTACCCTGCCGAATCCGACCCGAAGTGGTAGGAAATTTTCGAAACTTGACCCGAGTGACCCGAAAATTTCTTAGGTGACCTAATAAGTTTTTCTGGAAAAACAGAAGAAGCCTATAGCTTTTGTAATAGCCTAGAACGTTTCTCTGATTTTTTTGTCCAAGTCATAGATAGTTCATTCGAGTTGTGATAACCCGAAACAGGAGATCTTTCTCAATCATATATTCCCAGGTGATTGAATCGTACTATCCGATCGTACAAGATCGTATACGAATCGTACGAAATCATATACGATTATGTACGATTTACATACGAATCGTGGTACCTGATTTGTTCTCTGGCTCGTACTGTACGATTTCATACGAAGTTGTATGATCGTATATGATCTACTACGATCGTATTATACGATTCAGAGGACAAATCAGATACCACGATTCATATATGATTTTCATACGATTGGTACGATTTTGTCTAATTCAGATACGATCTTAGTACGATTCTTCGACCTGGGTTGTCATGAAGTTTAATCATCATAATGCGACGTATATTTAAGGCGTTCGTTTTTCCGGATTTACTTGTTTTCTTTTTTCTTTCTTTGCTTCAACAGTGCGATACTGTACAATGTATAATGTACATTACACAGCGTCAAAGCGGGAAGAAAGAAAAACTGTACTTCTTTTTCCGATAAAAAAGGTACATGTGGAAAAATAGATGAGTGAACCGTAACCGCAGAAAATTCCCTGATTTATTTTCAAGTGGTAAAACCCGAATAAAACCCGAAATTTTTTTTTCCTTTGACCCGACCCGAATCAATACTTTTTACCACAACCCGAACCAATATTATTTACAATGATCCGAACCCGACCCGACATGATGGGATCAGACCCGATCCGATTTAGTCTCTGATCCCTGATTCTTTCTGAGTGTCCAGGATGCTAAACTATCTCATTTCAGATGGAAAAATTCAAAAAAGTTCAAATCGAAAAGAGTCGATATTTTCGGTGTCGGTATCTACCGAAGTTCGGTACTTTTAGCATTCGGTATACCGATACCGGTGCATGTCTGCTCTAAGAACACCAAAAACTCTGCTTTTCTTTTCTTTCTTTCACCTAAATCGATTATTGTCTTTGTAGCATTTTGTAATTCCAATATTTCTCCGCTGTTTTACGTACTAAAAATCTTGGGTTGATCTAAAGATGCAGCCAACACAGGCCATAACGAAGCCCGTTTTTTGATTTTCGTTCTTATCGCTGAAAGTGAGGGTTAAAAAATTTGTGATTCTGTCAGAATAGAAGAGAACAATCTCAAATTGTTAAAAGATACACTACATGTTATTACACGTACATAATTCTGGGATGAAAAATACAAAAAAGTCCTTTTTTTGTTGCAAAGTTTTATATGGAAATCTTGCTTAGAAAATCAAAATCTCTCTTTACAGCTTTCTCTATTTTTCATATTAGTAATCACATATAGCGTTGCTCAAATTAAAAATCAGACAACCTGAATCACATCTAAACGATAAAATATAAAGATGATACTTGACTTTCAGTTTAAAGGAAGATATGTGGCTTTCTATGTAAAAAAGTGAAAATGTCTACAGAGGAATTTCTGAAGCTCGGACCTGGTCTTCTACAAATCTTCTTAAAAACACTTAAAAGTCAACGAACATTTTTTCGACTTATTTTCCCATAGATATGTATGTCTTGATATTCACTTTTGAATAGTGAAAATTGCAGGTCTCAATCTCTATTTGCTCAAACATTTTTGTGCCTATTATTTCGAAATGAATACTAGGTCTAATATATTTCTTTCGCCTTAGGTAGAAAAACAAATAACAAGTAAGTCAAACGAATCGCTTACGTAGACAGTTTACTTGTATGAGAGAAGAAAAAGAGAAGAAATAAATGAAAAGCAAGTAAATACACATTCAATTTGCACAAAAAACAAAATAAATTAAATAGCTTCACTAAACTAACACAGAAAATAATATACTATTATTAAAAATTATTTAATAAAAAACATCATAATCATCTAACTGATTGCATTTAGTATGTTGTTGTATACAAGAAAATATAAATATTTTATCATATGAAACATGTTTTCCTGTTGTTGTTTATTTTATGATTTATAAACTTTAATAACTTTCACAATTTGTCGTCTACATACTGGACATGAATGAAATGACTTTGAACATTTTAAACATGATATCATATGTCCACATTCAATTAAAACACAATCAATAGATGAATCCATACAGATAATACATTTATCCTTTGATGAATCATCCTTACTATCTGCGCGTGATACTAAAATAGAAATATGATCTGTAAAATCTATGAAAACAATTCAAAGTTTTATTATAATTTATTTTAACAAAACTATAACTTAGTATTTTTATACTCTACGTACAATTATCAGTCTACGGTTGTTTTTCTGTGCGCGTTTTCTGGAATGAGATATACTTTTAGGCCAAAAAACGTTTACCATTTTATGATGTTAGAGAGAAAATTAACTTTTCAGAAAAGCATTGAAATTTAGTAAGCTTTTTTAAGTAGTTTAATAGGACAGACTAAATCCTGGACATCGATTCTTATGTAAGAATCTTACCAGAAACGTATAAGTCTTTTATCGGTACCTTATAAAATTCTTATATGAATCTTACCAGTTTTTTATGTACGATTGTTTCAGATTTTCCATCGACAGTCGTAAGTATCTTATAAGAATCCGACAATATTTTTATAAAAGGTTCGTAAAAAGATAAATCTCACTTAACGAAGATCGCACTCGTAATCTACTTCCATTCAGCTGCCTAATATGTTAACCACTAGGCTATGAGTGTTTACTAGAGGTGTGCAGGATGATCCTACCCTAAAGGTAGAGTAGGGTAGAGTACAAACTTTTTAGAGTACGGATAGGGTTGAGGTTACGAAACATGTTTATAAGATACGGTACAGGTTTAGACGTTGGTCATAAACTGTACCCTATGAGATAAAGAACGCTTAATATTGAGAGACATTTGCTCCTTTAGTGGTGTATGACTTCGTTAGCCACCAGAAGGGATCTATGCCTGTTTTTAGTGGATGTGGAGTTGACCAGTTTTTGAATAAAATTGTAGGTAGAAAAACGAACTTCAATCGCTGAATGAATGATCCTATTTTACTCCTACTTTCTTATGTGTAGAGTAGGGTGCAAACTGTCTGAAGGCAATATAAGAGGATAGACTAGGGTACAGGGTACAAAAAGTTCATATCCTGCACATCTCTAGTGCTTACTTTCCCTATATTATTCTATTAACTTATTTTAGATAGTATTGGAAGTTATATGTGTGAAATATTGCCGAATTAACTAGTTAATACATTCTAATAAAATTTTTATATTTATAAAAATAGCAGTTCTACGAATACGACTCTCAAGTCATCAGAATAAATGACTATTATGGCCATTTACTAATCCGAAACGAATTTGGGTGCAAGTAGAAGTAACTTAATCGTAAGAGAAATCGTAAAAACCGACTCATAAGCAACCTTCTAGCAGATATATTAATAACACAAGAATTTTTGGTACATCTTATGTTTTTCTTACGAACCTCTTATGAAAATCGTAGCCAATTCTAATAAAATACTTTCAATGTAAAATCTTAAACAATCTTTTATAAGAAATTGATAATTTTCTGATAATAATCCTGTTAGTTTAACAAAAATTAAACGTTTTCCAGCTTGTGTGCGAAATTCTTTTGAGTTGAAATTGTTCACGTAACTTTAACCGTAAAAGCTGAGAACGAAAATTTCTGAAAAATAGTATACAACTTATATATCAGCAAGTTACATAAATCTTACCTTTTTGTGTATTACTCTGTAATAATTTGAATTTCTCTGTATTAAGTGATGATGGTGATATTGTATAATTATGATTCAGTGATGTATATTTTTGTGGTTGAGGCATACCATAATCTAGAAGTATAAGCGTCATACAGTAATAGATCAGAAAGTTTTTCACAAGAAATGAGAAAGACTAAGTCTTGTATTTTTTTGTTTTCATTCTAGTACCTGCTAATGGATATGGTAAAGAGTTAGAACACTGAATATCTTTGGCGTTATTTTTAATAATTGTTGTTGATGTATTGTAATTAGAGTAGACAGGAGGTTTTCTACTAAATACATTTGAAAGTTCAGTAATTAAATCTGATAAATTTCTGTTAATCTAAAACATAATCAAAGAATAAAATTTGTGTCATTGCCATTCTTTTTTTTCATACAGTTAGGTTATAAAGATATCATTTAACTCTGTACCTGATCATCGTTGCTTTTCCAATTATCCAAATAAGATACGTTTAATATTGAACCATCAGAACGAATGAGATTATTTGATTTATCAATACACATATCTGATGTTGGTTTAATATAGCAAATAGGTTTGGATTGTGGATAGTCACTATTTATCCAAATTTTAGTTGGAATATGATAATAAACGCCTAAATAGAGAAAAATCATCATTAAGAAATCAATCATTACAACAGTATGTTTGGTTACCTTTATAATGTATACGAATTGTACCAGTAAGATATAATAATTCTTGTTCAGTACCATCATTAAAATCTTATAATGAAAATGAAAATTAGAATTTATTCATAATTTTTTGCTAGATATTTACAATAATTACTAAACTTTAAACATAAATTGCACAATGGATTTTTTAGAGCTTGATTAATATCGTTGGTTGCTATTTGACGATAATTTAACTATAAGAGAACAAACTAAACGGATATATAAATGAAATGTTGAGTCTACTTACATTAGCTTTATTAACTAAATCATAAATATCATTCTTATTTTCTAACATTATTATTGCCTTGTTAATTATTAAAATATAGCTTATATTTATAAATATATATATATATATAATATTCTTGCAGTGTTGGAAAAATACAACTCATATTGAATAATTACTCAACATTGCAAGGTTTTTGTCGGTTTTTACCGGCATTTTATGTATTGCAAGAAACGAAAAGAATCGGTTGTGTTCTGTTGAATTATTTCTATGTATGCTGTTACTTCAAAGGTGTACAGAACACGTGTACATCACCTTTTTTGTGATGGAAAGGAAATATAAAAAGAAGTCTGGACGTTGAAAACATTGTAGTTTATTGTGTATTAAATGCCTTTTAATAGCTCACAAAAGGTGTCTTAAATAACTTTTTAGCTAATTAATACCGTTATTCACCATTTTTAGCATTATAAACTGGGAATGTACTAATGTCTAATATAGAGGTGGGATAGTTCCAGTTACCGTTCCTAGTAACTGTTTTCTGCATAATCAAGATGTCGAAAAGTTAATGTTCATCTATCTCGTTTTTTCTACTGTAATAAACTCATCTAGTTCAGTTCCCATGGACAATACTGCCACATTTTCCATAGAAACAATACACGTATAGAAAATCTTTATTCTACAGCCTTTAATGTGGATATTCCTATACTATAGGAAGCGCCTTTTACTGTTAAAAGATATTATAGAGCAAGAAACATCCACTTAGAGATGTAAAATTATGTCGATTTGAAAGAACAGTAACTGGAGACCAGTTCCAGTTACTAGGAACGGTACCTGGTCACCAGTTCTTTTAACCAGTTACTAGAAACAATAGAAACTGGAACTGTCTCACCCCTAGTCTAATAATGACATTTTTTTAATGATCAAGAGATAGAGTTGAGGGGAACATTTAATAGCGACTGTTTTATGGTTATTACTGCATACTTATTGACCAATTATGACTAATTTATTTTTGATTACCATCGTAACCTAAACGAGTTTTCGAATTTTTCAATACTTGCGGTTCCGTAGATGTACGCAGTACTATCATTGACGCCAGACCAAGAACTAATAATTTCTTCCTCGATACAAGTTTCAATGACTTGTATCGTTAAGGAGGAACAAAACTCGACGTTTTCTATGAGAAAAGAATGTGACATATATAGTACTGGGACCATTCAGCTTGTTCAGTTGCTCGTTATGGATATATCTTTGGATATTACATGAATATTTTGATTATGATATTGAGTTTTTAATTCTTGTTGAACCGCTTGTGAATTATTTTCATTCCGGATCACTAATACTAATCAGAAATCATGATGGACAAATAAACCGGCTAATTCATGACCGACGGCAGACGACCTATGTCGAACGTTTTTTTAAAATACCGGCGGTTCAACAAAGTAGCGTCGGTATAGTGCGAAGTTAACCAACGGTAACTGATTACTCTGTGGTCTAAGAAGATACTACACGGTAACCGTTTTTATTCATTCACCATTGTATTCTGCACGCATGACGATATAAAAGAAACACAGAAATATTCGAGAAACTCGATTTCTTTTTCAGATTAAACTTTTCTTTTAGATCATATAGACTCGTCGAAATTTGAACTTTAGCTCGAGTCAAATTTCTCTCAATCAGGCGCAAGGAGGAAACGACCTCTGAAAAGGGTGCATACACTTAGAAGTGACAGTCACTTTAAGCGTCACTTAGTTACTTTAAGTAATACTTCAAGTGTCACGTTTACTTTTCTGTTTAAACAAGATTTGAGCAGTAGTGAGGGTAAAGTCACGTTTCTCCACTTCAACTTTCGCCAATAGACATTCGCCATATTGGCGGTTGGTGAATGTCGCCGAGACATTCGCCAATACCCCTAAACTATTGAAGAATGTCCACGCAACATATACATATACATATATATTGATAGTTCGTATTGAATGTTTAAAAATAAGAGACTATCACTTCGCGCGCGGACTGATTTCTTCTCTCGTCTCCTCCCTTTATTAAACAACCTTTGATTTGAGCTGAATGTTTTCACACTGCATATTACGTTTTGTTTTCCCAGGTCCAAGGATTAGATAACAAGATCTTGGAAGATCATATACGATCTTGGGTGATCGTATAATAAGAAATCATAAGATTTCAAAAGATCTTATTAATTCTTATCAATTTCCTATAAGACCTTACAAGATTTCATATGACATCTTGTAGCAAGATTCTTATAAGATTTTACAAGATTTTTCTTATCATAGGAATGTACAAGATCTTGTATGATCCTATAAGATCTTACACAAAGAAGGTATAAGAAATTATACGACCTTATAAGAAGTCACAAGATTTTATACGATCTTACAAGATCATACGCTTGATCATTTCCTGTCGAATCCTCTATACCTTTGCATTT